TAGCACAGTGTTTCCCAACCAGTGTGCCATGGCACAGAAGTGTGCCATCAAAAATTAACAGGTGTGCCACGGAATTTTGCCATGGCAATGAGCTACAATAGGTACGAGGATGGGGAATGCCTTAACAGGTGTGCCATGGAAAATTTTTATTAATCTAAGTGTGCCTCGGGCTGGAAAAGGTTGGGAACACTGGTCTAGCATCTCAAGCTCTTGTAGACTGCTGAAGACATGCTGGTAGGGCATTGAACCAAAAGCACTGGATAGGTCAAGTCATGCCACTGTTTATGGTTGTCTCACTCTGGGCATCTGCAATACAAAGTTATTTTCAAAGCAGCCTTTGTTGGACACACAGCCTTTCTGGATGTGAAGCTGATGGCTCCTAATTTCATTGCCCAGGCTGTAATCATACAGTTTGTCCATGATGAAGCAATGAGCTTTCAGTTACTAAGGTCATCAGGCTCACTTGTCTTACATGCAAGTATGGTCATGGTGTGCAGAACTCCTTGAACTGGTTGAAGAGGAATGTCAGCACAACACAGCCTAGGTAGGTCCAAGTTCTTCAGCAGCCTGTACCTGATGCAGTTGTTGCCTGGCACTATCCCCCTTGCCCTATTCAGTTTAGCTTCCTGGTGTAAAGTTAGGCTTAAGCCTCACTACAACGCACTCCTCTACTACAAGCTGGTTTTTGGCAGATCTTCTGGTGGGGGATGGAAGGTTCTCTGTTTCAGCACTGGGAAGCATGCATAGAAGAAAGCACAGAGAAATGCCAGGGACTTCTTGCAGTCAAGAGTGACATAGGTGCTTCTGAAGGTTCTTGCAGAAGATATAGTTTTGGTGAAGGATGCAGACATGGCAGACTAGTTTGTCAGGGAAAAGAGAAGGCAGGTAGACCAGCTGGAGGCCTGGCTCCTTGTTTGCAGCTGGCGTCTCAGCAGAAGTCTCCTAGGTGGTAGAGCAGGTTGGTATGCCCAAGGGTCTGTATGTCAGGCCTTTATCACCTGCCTTCACCATCTTGGCCCTGCAGTTTTGTGGCTATTGACACTAGAGAATTTGTCCTCACTGATGAGGCAATTGCCAGGAGGTCTCTCTCTCCACTACCAATGCAGATGTTGTTGAGGGATCCTTCCCTGCAGGTGTCAGGGAGTTCTTCACTACTGCTTCCAGGAAGCCCTTCTGTTTTGCCACTACTGAAGGGACCTCCTGCTCCAGTACCACTGTCCATTTATCCCCTAAACATGACCAAGTGCTAATTCACTTGATCCGAGACTACCATGTTTAAATCCAAAGAGATTCAGCTGTTATATTATTCAATATGATAAATTTAAAAAACCAAAACCTCTATGACAGCTGTTTTATTGAGAGCTGGATAAAAGATAAGCAGCAAATGGTGAAACTAAGCGAACATTTTTCAGTAATCACTCTGGATATACCCTGTTTATATGCTCTCCTCTAAAGCATCCACTGTTGTCACCGTCAGCGACAGGATACTAGGCTTGATGGACCACTGGTCTGACTCAGCATGGCACTTCTTAGGTTCTTACATTCTCTACTGCAAGAAACTTTCTTTCACTGTCCTGCTTTCTGTATTATAGTTGTATCAGCCCTGATTAAGCATAACACATTAAATGAAAAGCCCTACTATCCAGGTTTCAATAAATTCAACTGTAAACCCAGACACAGGTAATATGAGTATGTAAAATAATGGAAATTTAGCATGATTTTATACCCATAGTTCAGTTTTTTATTGCTGTCATTTCTGGGTCTAGAAAATTCAGCTCATTTATCTCATTCATTTTGCCTTGTTCTTTTAAAAAGCCTTTTTCTCTGATGTCTGGCATAATGTTTTATGTATTTTTAAACTAAACAAAAGGAAAACAAGAATTCAACTGCATATAATATATTACCAATGCAAAGATTCATAAAGCTTTATGATCCGATTCATTTACTATTGCTAGACATGATTAAGATTGGAAAAATTTTCATTTTACAACATGTTACTCTAGAAAAATAGAATTTACTGCTTATAGAACAGATTTAAGTGAGGCTAAGGAGTTGTGTTAAACTAAAGTTAGGCTAGGCCTGAACATGCAAATATTGAAGGCAAGAACATTCATTACGCAGTGTTGTACAAAACAAAAGTAAAATAAAAGTTCTAAGACACCAAGATTTCAAAACTTTTACTGAGGATCCCTCTGCATATTACAGGTATTGCAAAATTAACTGGTTAACTGCACAATTATCTTGAAACCAGCTAAATGTGCAAAGTACCTATCATGCCATCAAAAACTCCAACTGGCTATAAGGTTAGACCTTGACAACGTGCACTAACTTTCTAACCAGTTGCTATCGAGCTTTAATTTGAACACGTAACAGGGAGCCCTGTAAGCTGAGGGTACTCCCAGCCGCAGGGGTGTACCATGCCCAGCGTGAAACCCCCAAGCCCCAAGGACTGCAGTAGCCACAATCCCCAGGGTATGGGGGCTTTCCATACCCCTGAGCCCTAGGGACAGTGGCAACTGCAATCCCCAAGGGTTCAGGGGTTTCCCACAACTTAGGGTTTGAGGGGAGGGGGGGAGGGAGGGAATTGCCCCTATGGCAATCCTCCAGCCCCCAGGGTTTCCCTGCACCCAGGGGCCAGCTAGCTTAAGTATCTGAAATGAAATAGTAGAAAATAAAGTGTTATTTTGTAACCTGATTTTTCAACTTTAAATGCATCCCAACACACAACTGGTCTCCACTCTAATCAGTGCTGGAAATGCCAGATTAAGTGTATTTTGTTCAGATGATGTAATGCTTTTTAGGATTTGTTATTCTTTGATTTCACCAGAAGCAAACAGAAATTCTAACTTAGCACTAAAAGATATTAAACAAAGATTTTCTGAAAGTTCTTTAAATGAGCAGTATTGCTACATTTTCAGAGTCTGAAAAAATAAAATTTTACTTCTAGCCAAACCCAGTAAGATAACAGTAGTGTAAATAATTATAAAAAGGTAAAACAATTAAATTGACATTCGAGTATTTCTGACAAAATAAATTCTGCTAATGAATACACATATGCATCTATTAGTGCAAGCTAATTATAAAAGTTAAAATAGTCTTAATGCTATTTAGGCCAGCATTTCTCAACCTGTAGTTCACGACCCAAAAGTTGGTTGCAAGAATTTATGGAAGGGTTGTGAACAAACTTTAAAAACGGATTCTCCTTTAAAAGGAGAAAAATGTGGGAAACTGTGGATTTCCTCTTGCAGGCTGGCAGAGTTCCATGGCCTGGTCATGCCACAGCCGCTGCTGCCGCTCCCTTCAGGCCACAGGTCTACCCTGGAGGGGAGGTGGGCAGTGCGGGCAGCCTGAGTGGCGCAGCAGCACTGGCTGGGCCATAGAGGTGGGGTAGAGTGGGTGGGGGGCTGTTTTCTACTTAAACAATTTACTGGGTCGGGACTAGCCAAAGTTTACAAATGGGTCCTGGTACAAAATAAGGTTGAGAACCACTGATTTAGGCCATGTTTGTCAGTGATACAATGCCCAAACTTTACAACAAAGTAAAACTCAGAAACATTCTACTCTCATGTAAAACCGTTTTGTTCCATCTTCTCTCATACTTCTCTCAATTCTATGCATGTACCACGAATGGTAGAGTAGTATCACACTGGGGAAAGGGGCTTCTGGCTATCAAATCTAGAGTGGAACTGAGTGGGCAGATTCCTACTTGTTAGAGATGTAGCTAGAAGCAGCAGCAA